GCTTACGGTCAGGCAAAGCACTTGGCGGAGTATGATCTGGCACAGACAGCTGAGGACACCAATTGGTTAAAGATTTGCTAAGAAACAGAAACTCTGATTTCATTCTCTTAGAAAAGGAACATTTTCCTTCTTGGTTTTGACTTTTATTTTTTCCCTCTGGACAGCCAAGTCTCAGTGTCTCACGAACTGCTTTAAAAATTGGAGAGAGCTGAAAGAGAGGGCAAGAGCATGTGGGCAGCTCTCATGGTGCATGGGCAGCTTCTGCAAGGGGGCTGCCATATCATGCCTGTGCAATCAATGCGCAACCCCTGCCTGCTGCTCCCCCCAGCTGCCATCCATCATGGAGGAATCCATGCCCAGAGTGTCACAGTTGTGCTGCTGGGAACAACCATGGCTAGAGGCAGGTTTGTGCCAGAGCACTGAGCAGTATTTGGGCTGGTGCTGCAGATCTAGTTGTGAAACATCTGATCAGGCTCTAGCTAAGCAGGCAGAGCCGGTAGCAGGAGTCAGTGGTCATGGTGCATCACCCCATTTCCCTGTCTGCTCCTTGTACACTCTCAGTGGCTTGTCAGAAGGACTGTGCTTACATTCAAACTCAAGCAAAATATCTTCCCAGGTGAACAGAAAGCCCCTTCTGCCTTGAAGAGAGTGGGTAAATGTAAAATGCCTCCCCAGAACAAGTGCTAATTACTGGAATAGAAAAAATGAAATTCCTTTAGTCTAAAGCATGTAGGCCAATGCTGCCTAGGTCTTATTCCTAAAATACCAGGAATGGAAAGGGAATTGGTCAATTCCAGCTCTTTTTAGGCTTTTTAAAGCAGAGCTTACCTTGAAGCTCTCAAAGCTGATAGATACAGAGTGAATGACAAAGGTTTGCTATAAACAGGCAGTGTGCAGGTTTTATTTCTGTTCCTATTATGCAAATGTTTATTACTGTACTTTGGGAGACAAAAAACTACATTAGAATGAATGTCGCCAATGCCATAATTCTAAAATCTGGGTATGACTGAGGCTTTCTTACCAGTCCTGCAGATGGATGTTGCCAGCTTTGCCTTGTAGGAGAGGATGGCTGATAAACCACAGATTACTTCCCTCAGCACTGTGGGTGGGGAGGATGTTTTCTTCTGGCAACAGTCCACATCTCTGCACAATGAAAACCAAGTCTCCCCCTCTGCTTTCCTCTATATACCCACAAGAATACCCAGATGCATAGTTCAGGATAGATAAAACACAAGTAAGATCTGACTCTAGTTCACCGCAGTTGTCTTTACTGGGAAGAGGACATGATCCTGTGTCAGGCAGCAGAGCTGTAGCAGTCCCTGTGACCTTGCTCCCAGGAGATTTCCACCCCGTACTGCTACTTGGAAGCTGCTCATATGAATCTCTAATTGAAGATGTTATATTCGCATTTATTAAAAATAATGAACTACTTATTCTCCCCAAGCTTCTGGCCGCATCCAGTAACCACCCTTACATCACTGCCAGTGTCTGTCTACTTTATTCTGATGTTCCAGTCTCCCAGATGCTTATTAAAATCAACTGTGTAGAGTTAAGAGGTGGGAAAAAAATCAGGACGAGGGTCAATGAATAGTATTATGTCATGGTTTTGTTAGTCAACAAACATTTTATTGTAATATGGAATATAGTAGTGGTAAAAGGATGAATTTGGGTTTGGTGGATAATAGCCTATGGGGTCCATTGTGGGGACATGTCTCTGTCTTGCTACTCTAGCTCAGGAGGTCAGCACACAGCATGGAGTGCTTGGCCCAGTGTGTGCAAAGGCTTCTGCTGGGGCAGAAGCCACCCCCAGGACATGTGCCATGTGTTGCTGTACTTGCACAACACCTCACTGTACCCCGATATGTCTGCCCGTTGCCTGTGTGAAGCACTCATGGCCCTTTCCCATGGGGGACTCTCCCCTCCTTAGGCAGTCACACAGCTCCTGTTGGGTGGACTTTTTGTGGGACACTGTGTGGGTTTAGGCGCGGCACAGGCAGTATGAAGCAGTACATACCTTCAGCAGGGCAAGCAACTGCTCCAGAACTGTGTGCAAGTCGTGCTGTTAGAGAGCCCCAGGAGTGCAGCAGCGGGTCTCACTGCACTGGGGTGAGTAGGGCTATGGGCACTGCAAATCAGTACTGAGGATGCAGTCAGGTTTGGCATAACACAGTATCTCCTTCCCCCAAGGTGCTTTCAATTCTGTGATAGCAGTTCTTGCCTAGGATGCTGTCTTAGGTACTCACACAACTAGAACTGTGCATTTGTCCATCACCATCAGAGTTCAGCCTTTATCTTACCTCTAAAGGAAATACTCTAAAAAATATTTATCTCCTCAGACTATCACCATTTGTTCTCGACTATTATCTCATAGGTTGATAAATCTGGATGGTCATCTCTGGCCTGCTGTGGCAAATACCCTGATTCATTAGTGGTTCTGATGCTGCTGTTCCTCTGAGGTCTCGGGTTTTGGCTATGAGAGAAAGCGGCTGCATTTGAACTGGTGATGTGGGATTCTGTGCTTGTCTGGCCAGCACAGACATGGTCTCCCCTCTTGTTCCCATTCTTACATGTTTTAGTCATACAAACAAAAATCCATGTAACCGTTTATCCCCATGATTTCATGTGAATGTGTCAATTCTGGTTTCCAGCCAAGATGAATCTATTTTTGTTTCAGGTTTCAAATTAAAACGAATATCCATTGCTCTCCGCCTCCATATACCACCCTGCTTGAAGTAAACAGCAGTGCAGCATCGGGGGTGCAATTTTCTCATCCTAAATTACTTTTTTCTGGAGTATCTCACCATATGGGCAACCTAATCTGTCGCTCCCAGGCTGAGCTCTTTCTGCATCCCTGAGATCCAGCTGGTGTCAGGAGGAATCCTAAAGTCTTTCTAGGTGCCTTTTGTTGAAAAGAGGTTGTAGTGAGGTAGGGTCAGTCTCTTCTCCCAAATAACAAGCACTAGGACAGGGGAAACAGCCTCAAGGTGTGTCAGGGGAGGTTTAGACTGGATATTGGGAAAAATGTCTTCACTGGAAGGGTTGTTAAGCAGTGGCAGAGGGCAGTGGTTCAGTCACCCTCCCTGGAGGTATTTAAGAAACAAAGACATGTCACTGAGGGACGTGGTTTAGTGGTGGCCTTTGCAATGCTGGGTTAACGATTGGACTTGACGATCTTAAAGGTCTTTTCCAACCCAAGTGATTTGATGATAATCCGAGCAGTTCTTTTAAGTGTACAGCACTGTTTTTCCCAGTGCATAAGTCAATGGACATGTGGTTCTGTGAGTGGACGGTGTGACAGGAACGGTAGCTCCTTGACTTCTGCTAGTTACAGCTTTGCCCAGGTTGAGGAGAACTCCTTTTCTGACATCTTGAAGACCTCATGCCTTAGAGCAGGGGATGGGAGCGCAGTGTCCCTCTGGCAGCTATTGCTTTTGGTGGGAAGATGCTTTAAGTTGCATTGATGCAGATAGATGATCCCAGACAGCACTGAGACCTCCCTCCTGCTGCAGGGAGGCAGGACCACCACAACACTCACCCACTAGTGAAGGCCTGATAGAGGGTGACCACTCAGTTGTAGGAGCACAGCTCCTGCCCCAAGACGTGGGGAGGCTCTATCATGGCACCAGCGTTCTGTCAGGGTAGTGATGTATCGCTGCAGTGGCAAAGGGAGAGCTAGACGTCGCTTGCTGAATGAGAGCTCCACCATCTCTCTCTGCTGTCTGTTTGTACGAGAAATGATGTTTCCAGGCAGGTCCTCACCTCTCGTTTCTCATCTTGGCAACTGTGGTGTTGTGCAGGTGCCATTATGTGACGGCACATTTGCCATGGCCTCTGGTCATTCTCCTGCCTCTGCTCTGTGCAGGGGCTTTCCATAGGCAGGCTGTTGCCTATCAATTATTTTATTGAGTAAACACAGATAAAATATTCATAAAATAAATACAAAATATTTAAATAAGAAGAGCTGAAGAATCTCATACAGCTTTCTAGTGCCTGGTGGAAGTGCCCTCAGTCTGCCAGACTCCCCTCTGGATTAGGGCCTGTAACCTGGGGCTGTGTGACCACAGCCATGGCCAGCCTTGGGGAGGAATTTTGAGGAGCCAGGGAGTGTTGCACAGGCCAGGCTCCCACACTCGTGACAGCATGGCAGCACTATGTGCCCCAAGTCTCTCTGGCATTTTGCGCTTGCCTGCAAACAGCTGTGTTCCAGTTCAGGACCTTAGAACCTGAACAGGACCTCACCTCACCCCAGGCATTCCTCAGAAGAAGTGCAGTTGCTGTGTTTTGAGTTGTCAAACAAGATTAAAGAAAGTAAATTACTTTGTGTAATACCTTTTGCAACTAGCAACTAATGGAAAGCTCTTTGCTGATAGAGATGTAAATCCACCTGAGCATGCGAAGACAGCATCGCTGGTGATGTGAGCAGCAGGTCACAAAGGGCTGTGTCACCACACGGATGCAGTGCAGCTTCCGGAGCCTCTGGGATCGGTGTGTGATGAGATCCTTACTGCAAAGTTAAAGGGAAGCTGGGGAAACCTGTTGAGACAAGGTGCAGGGATGCATTCCTTCAGACAAGTACAGTATTTGTGCAGATACTGCCTTAATCCCAGGCACCCTGTGCAAATAGCAAATTAATTCTGAGGCTGCCTCAGTATGTTTTAACTCCTTCTGTACCTGAGCACTCGCTGTCTCACCTTCTGAGAAAACATAACAAGATGCATAGCTGATTGCAATATGACAGAACTTGGGCAAATGCTGGGACCTCTCCTACCTCCTCCCAGCTCCTGGATGCTTGCAGAGTTCTATTTCAACAGTTTGTTCATTTAATATCCTTTAAAATGATATGCCCATACATATCTGACAGAAAAATAAGTGAACAACTGTCTTGCACATGCTTCTGCTGCCTGAGGAAGGATACGGAGGAGAAGGATCGTGGTGAAATGTTCTGTTGCATTTACTTGTTTCCCCTGACTCCTGTGCCTGGGAGCACGGTTGGAGATTGCTGCTTCCTACCTTTCTGTCAGGCTTCTCATTAGCAGGAGCATGCAGCCCGTGCAGCTGGAGCTTTGATGCCTCCCTCACTATCATTTCCTACTCAGAAGATTCCCATTCATTCTGATTTGGTACCCAGCCCAAAGCTCTGGCTCCCCCCCTGAGCCCCTCGGCATGGCTACAGGACTCCAGTTTAGTATGCACTGGAAGAGACGAGCTGATGCTCCCGCGCTAGACCTCCCGGCTGCTGGTTGGAGCCATAAGGGATCGGGAGGAAGAATTAGCCTGTGTGTTTATGTGGCTGTGCTCCAGTAAATATTTTGATGCATCTGCTGCCAGCTCTGGTCTGAGGGAATCTACCTAGCATTTAAATTTTGATGGGGAGCTGTTTTGAATAATAACAGTGCAGCCGGCTCTGAGTCAGTGCATGTGTGTTGACTTAAAAAAAAGCCCTCAAAGCTTAACGCTTGCTGAACGCTGAGCTGCAGTGCTTCGTTTTTTCCCTCCTCCTTTCTTCTTTTCTTTCTTCTCTTGACTTCCTCTGTTTTGTTTTGTTCTTGGGGGCATTTCCCACCAATTGTGTTCACTGGCAGTGGAGGGCTGGGGGGAGAAGAATTCGAAAAATAACCCCAGCCAAAATAAATCCTCCTCAAAAACTCAGAAGTAGCTTTTGCAATGGGTGCTGTAATGGGTACGTTCTCCTCTCTACAAACAAAACAAAGAAGACCATCAAAAGGTAAGACCTCCTGGTTTGCTTTTCCAGCCCCTTCTGTATATTTTCTGAGAAAGAAATTCGTATTGGGAAGGAAGGAGAAAATGAACATGTGCCACTTGCAAGTAACCCAGCAGTGTTTGTGAGGTGCAATTTGCAGGGAGTAGGATGTGGGGTGGTGGAGGAGGCATGTGGGCATGAGAATATTGCTGTGGAGGGGTCTGGGGGATGAAAAGCAGCTGGAATACTCTAATCCTTCATATAGGCATGTGTGTGTGTGTGAGGAGGAGAAACTCACAGGCTCCATATGCAGAGCACTTGCAGAAGAGACTTGTTTATTTCCAAATCCCATGCTTTATAAAACCTTAGAGGAGGGAATAAAATGTAGATACACAGCAAATCCTTCCCAATACCTTCTGGGTTCTTTCTTAGAAAGTATTGTTTGAGTCAGTGTTGCATATTCAGTAATCCAGCACCAAGTGTGCGATGCTGATGATGTGGGTTTTGTAAAGATTATCAAGAGGGGAAAAAAATTAGGAGGTTTTCATAAAGAAGGAGAGGAGGAGAAGCTCATGAAAAATGAGGAAATAAGCAGCTATCCCAGGGATTTGAATCCTTAAAATCCATAAATACTGGCTGTGAAATGCTGATTTTTGGGAGATCTGGTGTGTGTAGTGTTTGCTTGAGCTCTGCTTCATTTCCTCAAGGGTTAATTCAGAAATTCCAGGGTGCTGCTGAGCAGAAAGTTACAGGCACTCTCAGGGACACATCCGTGCCATACAGAATGAGTGTTGTTTAAAAAACAACAGGAAAGACGCTGTAACTTCAGCAAGTCTTTCTGCTGTTTGCAAATATTCCCTGCCAGAACCTCTGCATTTAACAGTCACTCGGTATTCCTAGGGTCGGTCAATGTTTCCACTGGATCTGTTGCTCAGTTCGTATCTATACTTTTGAATCCAAGCTGGTGTGGATTTTCTATCAATTTAAATTAAAAATTATCTTTGGAAATATCAAATATCAAGTAATCCTTCTAAATAGAAATGGGGAAGGGCTGTGCAGGGGATTTGATTGTGGCGAGTGTCAGTGTTAAATTCTGTCTTCCTGGTCCAAGGCAGGTAGGGTAAAATTTTCTGTTACAGTGTGTGCACATGGTTTACAGTTCACCTTCCTGTGTTGTTGTGATGCAGCCATAACTGTGTGATTGCCTGGGATGGATATGGTATGTACAATGCAAGTGTAACTGTACAGCTGTCCAGACACCGAGTCACACCTAAAGCCATGGGAGTCATGTTTAGGCACTGTGAAGCAGAGGAGAGCTGAGCGCAGTGCGCTGGGCATGGTGGCTGTGGAGACATCAAGTGTGTGTGGGGGGTCTTCTCCATCTGCCAGAAACCTGCGAGCTGGAGCTGATTTCCACTCAATGTGGATAATTCTGTGCTGAATGCATCTGCTCTCTATCACTTTGTGGTCTTGCACTTGGCTCAGCTCTCCAGTGGAAGGAAGAAACTGCTTTTTGTTGGGAGTTCACGAGCAGTAAACACCCAGCATCTGGTCACACTTTTGAACATTTACAGTGGGCTTCACTCTTGCTGATGCCTTCTAGCAGTGGCTGCTTACCTGTATGTATCAGGACTCGTGTTCCCTGAGTTGTGTCCTTTTGGCTCTGATGTGTTATCCATGCTTTGTTGCTGGTTAGTAGGGTACCCAGTTGGAAAGCTGAAAGAAATTACTTTTGTTTTCTTGGCTATTTTCAAAGGCAGTACAGAATTTCACACCTTTCAGTCACTATTTACCTGGCAGAAAAAAATAACGCTGCTGGTTTTCACTCTCTTCAGCCAGTTGCAGATTTTCCTCTATACTGATGCCCAGAGGATGCCCTGGATCTCCAAACATGAGTAGCAGAGGCGTGTTTGCTTCATGTGCCTCTGGGCTGCTTGGTATATTTGACTTTAACTGTCAGCATTTCACTTTGTTTGCAATGAAACACTGGGATGTACTTGAATACAGTGTGAAATTGTTCTTTGTCTGAGCCTAGATAGTGAGTAAAAGTCAATTACCATCACATAATGGGTTCCTTAGTGCTGCTCACCTGTTCCCTCAGCATCTCCTAAGCCCCTGACCATGCTGATGGCCTCTGCTGGACCATGCCTAAGCGTATCCATGTCTGCCTTGTACTGGGCAGCCCAAAACTGACCATGGCACTTGGCTGTGTTCTGAGTACAGGGGAAGATTCACGCGTCCCAGCTTTCGCTGTGCGATTGTTGATGCAGCCCTCCATGCAGGTCACCTTCTTGACCATAGGGCACCTTGCTAATGGTGCCTGGGTATATCTGCTCGCTTTGATGTTGCTGTGTGTATCTGTTATTGAGCAAAGTGTTTATTATCTATTTTATTATTAAATTATCATCTACTATAATAATTTATTTATTTCTGTGTTTATTTGAATAGTTCAGGATTTATGTAGCAGGTAAATATTGCTGCTTAAAATAAGGGCTTGAAGAAGCGGTTATAACAGCGCTAGGTCCACATCTCTGCAACTACACTGCCATCTCAGTGAGTATGTGCTCTTCCCAGTAGTTTGAAGACAATTTGTATAGTCTTTCTAGCTGAGCAGCTCACACAGATTTCTGGAGCTACATACCTTTGGTGTAATCAGCTAAAAGCAATGTCTATTGTTTTAAGCGTAGGGAAAATAAAGCAAGTTATATCTCAAGTGAGGAGTTTCCAGAGTTAATATCAGTGTGCATGTGATGGATCCCAGCAGAGTGGCTCATGCTGAACCTTTCCAGCCTCAGTGCCAGGCACAGCTCAGCTGGGTAGGTCTGGGGAGCTGGCAGTGAGAATGGTGGCTGGTGGCTATTCCAGCTGTGAGCAGCAATGCTAGAGGATATATTGTAGCACTGATCAAGAGTACAGGATTTAATTCCATGTTTTAACGAAAATGGGGAGCCTGAATAAAGGCAGGAGTAGCACAGAAATTGTCTTAGAGTGGAGAGCAATGGTTCAAGTGTGAGACCTTGTCTCTGGATTTGGACAGTGTTGTGATGTGGACAGTGTTGTGGGTTTGTAGAGGAGAGTATCATTTGTTTAGCTTGAATGTGAAAACTTAATCCAATGTAACTGGGCACTTTGTCTAGGCAGGTTATGAGCTGCTTCCCCTGTCCTGTGGGATCAAGATTTCTACTTCTCAGGTTTGCAATCCTGCTGATAAAGCTACAGAAGTTTTCCCTGTTTGCTGGAGTGTCCCTGGATAGTCCATGAGATTTGTGCTGTTTGCTTTGGTAGCGGCTTGGGGCAGTTCCACAGATTATTTGTACATGTTGTTAGAAATTATGTTCTCTGATATCTTCAATTGATGGCAGTTTAACTTCATTTGCTGTTGGGATTCTTCTTGCCTGCCTTTTCCAGCACTCAGAGAATACTAAGCAATTGGAGCATCTGACACATGGGGAGAAGCTGAGGGAGCAGGGACTGTCCAGCCTGCACAGAGAAGGGTCAAGGGATTTTATTGAGAGTATAAAAATACCTGATGGGCGGGGTAGGAAAGGTGATGAAGCCAGGCTCTTCTTAGTGGTGTCCCGTGACAGGACAAGGGACAGTGGGCACAAATTGAAATACAAGAAATTCAGCTTAAGTATAAGAAAAAGATTGTACTGTGAGGATGACTGAACACTGGAGCAGGCTGCCCAGAGGGTCTGTGCAGCCTCCATCCTTGGAAATACTCAAAACAGTCCTGAGCAACCTGCTGTAGTTAAACCTGTCTTGAGGATGAGACAATCTTCTGACATCCCTGCCACCTTAAATCCTAAGGGTGTAAGGACTTTGGAGCACCAGGAAGAGGAAGAAACACTGAGAGCTCAGTATGGACTAAACACCAGCAAAACTGAGAGGAGTGCTTGGTCCTCTCTCTAGTATGTTGGCAGTTAGCACTTAGATACAAGATTAAGAATTTCAAGTTGCTTGTATATCCTCCAGCAAACATAAGCAATAAAACGATAAATGAGTTGGGGGGGAAAAAACCCAACCCACAACACTAAAAGGCAGAGAGCCAGCACAGCAGATAATGCACACACAGACACATTTCTGGTTTCAACTAGCTGCAGAAATAGGGATGCTTTTCATGTGTTTTTACAGTCTGCAGCCAGTCGTGGCCAAATTTGTGGCTAGAATCAGTCATTTCCAGATTTGTCATGGAAACGTTCGGATTAGAAGGTTGCTAAAGCAGGGGGAAATTCTTGTTTGGATGGCTTTCCCTCCCTCTGTGGCAGTGTGCAGTGGGGATGGGGACACTGCCATGTGTGGGCAAATTCAATTCCAGTCGAAAAGAAAAATCAAGGAATAAGGGATTATTTCTTTTCTCGACAGAACACCCACCTCCTACGCCCAGTGAAAAGGAAATATAACTCAGATACTTCTCAGTACCTGAATCTTGTTGGCCTTAGAGCTACAGGCTCCAGCTCTTCCCCTGACCATGCCAGCAGAAAGCAGAACTGGTTTTGGCTGGGAATCTGAGCCTGTTGAATGAGAGTAACCAGATTTTGATCCAAACCTAAACCATCAAGACGAGCCCGTCACAGTTGTTTGGTTTTGCAAGGGCTAACAGCAGGAATTTATACAACAGCAGTTGTGCCATTTTTATAATGACTGACATCTAGACTTTTTTTTGAAGGAAAGTTTGCTTTGAAATGGCTTATTGGCCAAAAGCATCAGGTTTCGTGTCTGACCAGCTGTATTTTCAAGTGGTTTGCTTACCAGGAAACCACTCACCATTGCTGGGCTCGTCAGTCCTCAGAAGAATATGTGACTGACGTGAGCTCCTAATGTCAGGGCTGAGCCCTTTCAGTTCCATGCACTGGAAAAAATCTGCTTCTCTACTCAGACAAAGAAAAAGTGGTTCATGTGGGTTTCAAGCAATCAGCCCTGTTCAGCCCTAGCCCTACAGCTGCAGCATGGGAACGCTGGATTTGGGCAAGGTAGCTCCCTTGATTTTTATTTGCTCAGTATGTACCATTGCAAAGCAACTC